AAAAGTGGGACCAGCGCCATGTCAGAATGATGTGTATATGAGTTGGAGAATCATAAAGTACCATCGTACAATTTGGTCCTACAAACCCAACTACATCTTTTTTTTATTTATTTATTACTTTTAAGTATAAAATAAATAAAATAATTAATTCATCTTTATTACTTAATTACTTCTTGTTTATATATATATACACACACACACACACATGGTATACTCGTGCGATGCGGTGCGGGTGAATCACAATTTCGAAACATTAATTTAGCATTGAATTATAAATTCTTGTGATATTTTACAAGTCAACTACTATATAAAGTTAAATGTTAATACGGTGTATTAGCAAGATCAAATGAAAAAACAATTGCACACGTATTGGATTTCTAAACCCATATACTCGGAACTCATTACAAAAATTTGAATTTAAATTTAGTTGAAGTCTAAAAAAATCTCCAAAAGCGGAGACCATGAAACATTTTTAAGAAGATGTTTTACCAGGTCTAAAGCTAAAAATGGGAGGAAAAAAAAGATGAAAGGAATAAAGCAAAACTAAGACTTTCTGTTTGGGTGATATTGATGGTGTTGTATTAAAAACTCGAATATAATGCTTTATGAGTTGTAATTAAGAGTTTTTTAAATTCTTGCATAAAATGGTTGTACTTTGTGCATAAATACTTGTACTTAAGACTTTGGTTTAAATACTTATTAATGTAGTATAGATATATATAAGAGGTGAGTTATTACACAACTTTTTACATTTGTACAACCAATACAACTCAATCTCAACCGTCCATTTAATTTGATGAATATGTGATTTCATAAAAGTTTTTATTGTTTCATAATATAAAGTATTGATCATAATCAATGAATTCTAATTTACATAGATATTCAAATCATAATAAATGAACTCTCATCATTTCCATAAATATCTCAATTGATTGAGTTGCATTGGTTATACAAATGAACATGGTTGCATTTGAAATATACCCTGTATATATATTATATGTATGTATATATAAAAAATTGAGTTTATCTATATTGTAAAAATTGATTCACCAAAGATTTACTGATATTTTGGATTTTATTTCCTAAAGGAGTTACCAACAGGACGTTCCAACTTTTTTGCAGGTCATGCTACATCCAAAACTTTTGATTACATTACATAAATGAGATGACATATAATATATGTTAAGAATAAAAATGGGTTAAACCTAAAACGATTAACAATCTGATATTAAACTTAAACCAATAATGGTTTGAACCTAAAACCAAATAAGTAATGGTTTGAACCTAAAACCAAATAAGTAATGGTTTGAACCTAAATAATTTCGGCTTTAGTTTTACATAAGTCGATAAAAAGACCTTAAACACATGTAAATTTGGGATCCAAAATTTTGGAGGCCCTGTTCAAGATCTCACATTTAACATGCTAAGTGACGGATCTGGTTACCAATGGGTGTTACTTCTATAAAATCTTGGGAGTTTACAGTAGTACTACAAAACTTAAACTTAAAATTTTAGCGATTAACTATAACGAAACACAAAACCCTAATTATAAATCGTTACAGTTGAAACCGATAATTCAATGTTTTTTACTGTATTAATTTTTTAATTTTATTACATAACATGGTAATCATATTATGGTATTAGTGACAAAACTTTGTGGGTACACTTGATTTATGTTGAAGTGTGTTAAATTTACACATCATTCCAAGAAACTCCCAATCACATGGGAGACACTTGTGGAGATAAAAAGGTGATGGTACAAAAGAGAGATTGGTTTCTAGAAAAGGTGGCAACTTTTTCATTCATTTTAATTGGTTGCATTATCATCACAAACAAATCAATCATAACTATAAAAGGTCCAACATGAAATATCAAGGTTTCAACAAATACATTCTCTTTTATTGGTTCTTTGAAAGTATGGTACGTTTTCATAAAGATTTGGTAATGTGGGAGTTTTAGTTTTTATAGATCGGATAAATAATTCATGGTTTTAAATCGAGGGGATATAGATATGTTTTGGATTCGTTTTTAGTCCAGTCTCGTGACATCTAAGTTGACTGGTCGGAATTTACAGAGCAAGAAGATGGTCGGACGAGGTATTTTTACAGAACCACAAAGGACTATCTAAATTGATTTGTTTTTGCCAATGAACTCCAATTACATCATGGGTATTACAAGAAAAGGGTTCTTTTAAAGTGATATCTAGCCGTTGAGAGCGTTCATTGTTCTTGAATAGGCTCATTCAACGATGTAAAATCTTCCAACGTGATAAAAGAATATCTCAAATGGAGGCAAGTTTTCTTAAATTTGTTGGCTTCGTCCAATTCTGCAGCTGAGAGTTCTGCAGCTGAGAGTTCTGCTCTAATGGAGGTGCATATTCATATTGTCACAAGGATCCATAGGACTAATTGTGGATCCAACAAAAAAAAAAATAGAAAGATTTGAGTTGTTTTGATAAAGTAACTGATAAAGTAGCTGATGAAGTAAATATGTTTGACAAAAATTAATTGATAAACTAGTTGAAAATTGTAAAATGAACAAATAATAACATGTTTAAAAATTAATAAATTTTAACGTTTCATAGTATGTTTAAAACAATCAACTAATAATATAATACATTGTTTGATACAAACTAGATGGTAAAAAAAATCAAATAATAGAATATGTTAATTAATAAATTTTCAAATTTGATTTATTATATAAGTGTATATATTAATAAGATGTTGGATTTGTATAGCCACCCATAGATAAATTTTATTAAATGATTATTTTAAATAACCATTATCTTATATATAATTTAGTTAATTAATATTTTTCTTTAAAAATAATTAAATTAAGTATGTTATTAATTCATTTATCAAAGTTTTATTATTTGTCAAACAAAAGTAATATATAACTTAATTTTTTATGTAATTTATAAATACATTTTCTGGATTGTTATATTTGTTTTTTTACTATTAAACATACTAAAGAACAATAATATAAAAATAAATGATAAAATGAATAATAATTCTAAATAATCAATGGTTGATAATGATGAATAATTTATAATTACGATTAATTAATAATTTAAAATTAATATTAATTAATAATTGAAATTAATTAATTAATTACAATTAACATTTAACTTTCAAATATAGTTGACATTGAAAATATGTATTAAGTTCTAATATTTGAAAATTTGTTACATTTAGGAGTCATTTATCAAACACTTATTTGATAATGGGTAGTTTATCTTACTTGTTATATTGTTTACCAAACATTTACTCGGTCATTTATCTTATCGGATGAACATGACACGAACCGAAAATCTTACCTGGTAAGAGCGTAGACAATAACCGAGAGTCTTTTCCGGTAAACGAAGGTGATGACTCTTATACAGTTAATCTTTACCGGATAAATTGTTACATACAATTCCGTTTTTTATAAACTAGAATCTTATCCGATAAAGTAAGTGAGAGTATTAATTTTTTTTTTTTGGTAATCGTTTATCAAATAAGTGCATGGGTAAACAACCCGAGGGAAAAAACCCTCTCCCGTAAATAAAAAACTAAGATAAATGAGTAAACTACGACTTTCGTCCCTATGGTTTCATGGTTATAATGATTTTAGTCCCTTGTATCTAAAAACTACTCTTTTCGTCTCTATTTTGGTTCTATTTTCGTCCTCCATCCAACTCTGTTAGAAACAGCCATTAAAAATCCAGAAAATGTTTTTGAGAAATTACATATTTAGTCCTCGTGATATGTGGAGTTTTACATATTTATTCTTAAATTTCATTTATTACTTCTATTTCTTTATTATATTTTTAATATTATATATACACACACATAGTGTGTATGTATATCAGTATATGTGTGTCTTTTTTGATTTAAATATTAAAATATAATAAAATAAAGTTTAAATAAAAATATGGAATAGTAAAAGTAAAAGTAAAATACATTTAATAGAATAAGAAACAACTTGTTGGTATAAGATAGAACTAACTTTTTTGTCCTCAAATCCTATTAAACTTGTTCAGATGGTAATTTAAAATAAATAGAAAAATTAAATAAATCAATAAAAATAAAAGGTTGTCAATTTTAGGAGATTTCAACCTAAAATATTAGGAAAAAAAAAGATATCGTTTTTACTTATCAATAACTTTAAAGAAATTTTTTGATTCTTTATTACTTATCAACTACTTTTCAGTATCCCATTTTAAACGAACCGGTTTTTAAAAAGAATTTAATAAAAAAACCAACTAACTTTTAAAATAAAAGAACTTTTATAAAATAATAAATAAAAAGATATTAATTAAAATATTAAAAATTCATTTATTTTATTAGTTGTACTATATGTTTTCAGCATTATTATAGCTATAATAATAATAAAAATCGAATAATTTAATTAAAATTATTGATAAGTCAATGATATAATATCAAAAAATTTAGGTTGAAATCTCAAAAAATAAATAATAATTTATTTATTTTAAATTATCAACTGAATAAATGTAATAGGTGAAAAAAAATAGTTCTATTTTATATGAACCGGTTTTTATTTTTATTAAATGCACTTTACTCCCACTATTCTATATTTTCATTTAAACTTTATTTTTTATTAACTAATCAAATTTGTTTAATATTTAAATTAAAAACATACACTATATAGTATATATGTGTAATATTAAAATAAATGAAACTTGAGGGTAAATATTTAGAACTTCATATACAATAAGTACTAAATATTAAATTTCTCAAAAACGTGTACTATTTTAAATATGTAGTATTAAAATATAATAAATAAAGAAAAAATAATAAATGAAATTTGAAAACTCCATATACAATTAGTACTAAATATTAAATTTCTCAAAAACGTGTTTTAGATTTTTAATGGCTATTTTAAACCGAAGCAAAATGGAAATCATAGCGACGAAAGAAACAGTTTTTAAAGACTAGGGACTGAAATCGTTATAAACACCAAACCACATGGACCAAAATCGTAGTTTACTCACCAAAATAGGAAGAAAAACAAATTAGACCGTATGTTTCAAATGACTAACGAATGGGTGCCTTTGTAGTTGGTACAAATGAATGGAAAAGCCAGAGGTGATACATACATGCATTGAAACACCATAAATCAAATACCCATTTTCTGCTACGCTACCATATCACAAATCTTCTATCTCCTCCTCCTTCCTCTAATTCTACTACCATAACATCTATAGTTTAAAGAAAAATGCATCTTCAACTGCTCGATTAGCTCGAAAATCCAAATCCCATGGATCCACCCCCAAACACTACTCGTTCTTGTGCCATCGATCCATACGAATATGCTGCTGCTTTAGTTTCGTTATCATTCCCATCCTCATTATAGACCTTCGTCGTAGCTCTCTCAACAGCTTCGAGAACATCGTCCTTCGTCACATAATCACCGTCTACAACATAACCAACACAAAAGTAAAACACCGACCAAAGGGTCAATGGCTCAACATCCTCCGTCCCAACCTTCTTGGAGGTTGAGGGTTCAAATCTCATTATAAGTGATGAATGTGTGTTAGTTTTGCCGTGTATATATACACACACACACATTGTTAAGTTGAGAACAAACCTCTGCGAGCAGCAAGTAGTACGGATTCATGAGCTATGTTTTCAAGATCAGCCCCAACTAAGCCTGGGGTACGTGACGCAACAAGCTTGCAAATCGCTTCTTTATCTTCCTCCATCGGCACATCTCGAAGATATAAACCGAAAATCTTCCGCCTCCCATCCTCATCTGGTTCACCCACCACTACTTTCCTGGAGAACCGGCCAGGTCTCATCAAAGCCGAGTCCAGTGTCTCCGGCCGGTTAGTAGCACCTATAACCACCACGTTTCCTTCTTTCTCAAACCCATCCATCTCCGTCAAAAGCTAACACAATATCAGCAAAATAACAAAATCTATTACATAATTTCAAATGCAAGAATGTTTATCAAGAAATAAATTATTGGTATGACCTTGGGTTCAAACATTGTATCCAGGAATTGATATTTTTAAATCCATAACCCTACCGACATGTTTGTCGATGACACCCCTTACATACACAAGAATGCCTAAAAACATGTCAAAAAGTGGTTGATTTAAATAGCACTAGTTAGGAGGTCATTTAGCAAAATAACCCGTACGTAAACTACCTGGTTTAAAGTTTGGTCGCGTTCACAATTCAAAGTTCTTCCACGTTGCCCACCGACGGCATCTATCTCATCAATGAAAATAATGGAAGGTGAACTTTTTCTTGCCTCTCGGAAAAGGTCTCTAACACGAGCAGCTCCCGTACCAACAAAAACCTCCACCAATTCACTAGCCGAAATGGAGAAAAACGATACTCCAGCTTCACCAGCCACAGCACGGGCTAATAACGTTTTCCCTGTTCCTGGAGGACCAGCAAGCAGAACCCCTCTCGGTAAAACTGCCCCAAGTTTCATGTATTTGCTATCTCCTTTAATACATAACACAATCTACAAAAGTTGAAATGAATCAGGCCAAACAATAACTCACAACCAACCAGTTTGAAGTAAAAGAAGGGACAGATTACCTCAAGAAGTTCAGCTTTGGCATCATCAACACCCTCCACATCATCAAATGTTACAGATTGTTTCTTGCTCGGTTTTCTCTTTGTCATTCTCCCAAGACTAAGTTGACCATTAAGCTGATAAAATGAAAGCAACACCATTATCCAGTAGGGGGCCAGTTGTAGCATCGCAAACAGCACATTTTTCATTGCTCCACTGAAAAGCTCAGGGTCTGAGCCATAAGTGATCCCCTGATCTTTCATCATCCTAATGAGATGATGCTTATCGTCTCCCACGTTTCTTGTATGGTACTGCCATTTCGGAACAGATGCTTTCAATAATCCTGTTGATCCTGATTGAGTTTGTGGAGTTTCAGCATCTTGATCACCCGAGGATTTGGTGTTGTAATAGATCTTTCGTGAATTCTCAACAAATTGAACTCGTACCACACTCCCATCACGAATGCCACCAACTAGATCCGAGTAGGGAACAACCATGTGACGTGATGCATGATGCTTTGGATGAGCAAACGAGAAAATCCCTAGAACCACGCAAAAAGAAGCCCCAACTATAATCGTGTATATCTTTGGGCCTACTTTACCTCCAAAAATTCCCTTACTTTTATGAATCTTTCTTTTTTCCGTCCGCTTGTCTACAATATAATTCAGAGACACATATAAAAATTGAGTTGATAACCAAATGCACATGATCTCAGAGAAAATATTGCATGACGTTTATAACTATAGGCATTTATAAATATAGGCATCCAAATATATATATATATATATATATATATACACATATGAGCATACTCCAGCATAAGTTGTACTTATGTGGACAAGAATGAAAGTCTGTTTCTTTATTAATTCATGTGGATCTTAAGAACCCTCCATCACTAGAAGCTGCAACAAAACCATGGTGAAAACACATTTATATATACAGTAAAATTGTACGATCAATTTGCCAAGGATATAACTTTAGGAAATTGAACAGAAATCATGAGAGTTTGATCAAGTCTGCATATGAAGTAACGAAACACGAGTCAAGAAACATAGCGGTAGATTCTCGTTGTTAAGATGGGAAAAAGAAGTAAAATTTTTGCATACCATCTTCAGTCTCTGCAACAGTGCCATCTTTTGCCCATTGACATTGGAACTTCACTGATGTTGCAGATGGCTACAAAACCATTTCAGTGGCAGCAAAATAATCAGTATTAGTGTACAGTCCACACATTCAACTTTGCAAAACAGTATTCAGTGGTGTTAATCTACAAGAAGCACAGTTTATATCGGCTTTAGAAGTTACAGACTAACTCATTCAACTGGCAAGAAGGTATAATATAACTATTATGGATGTACGGAGCATATGAAGACAGAATTTGGCGAACTGCGGAAGTGAAATCACTAATTACACTATAGACCGAGACAAATTCTGTCCCAAAATTAAAATTTACGCAATTTCACGAAGAACAGACTGATTTGAAGTTAAAATAATGCAGTCTACGAACCTTCTCATCAATTTGTGCAATATCATCCCAAAACGACGATAAACTGGATCCCGAAAAATCACTCCAATTCATGTTGCCACCAAAACCCTTATGTTCCTGGATGAGGAAAATCGTAAAAAAAATGCAGAATCCAAAAAGTAAGAACATCAAATGTACAAAACATAATACGCTACAAAAAAAAAAAAAAAAAAAACTATATTAGTATATTAGCGGTGACCTTAAAGAGTGCCGAAATTGGTTCTGCAGCATTCCCCGACTGGACACCATAAGACAGAGGAAGCGTGAAAGAGGAGGTTGGCGGAGTGTATAAGAAAGACCTTTTAGATCGAGAAGACGACTGTTTTGAGGATTTTAGGGCAATGATCATGGACGAGGGTTTCAATAAGAGGTTAGCCATGGCCATGGGGATTTTAGGTGTAACGTGGGCTCCAAGGTATGCTTAATTATTCGTGTTACACTAGGAAAATTAATGGAGGAGTGAAGCAGAGGATGCAACAGGAATATGAGGGTGACGACGAGTCTCCAGAAGGATCGATCGGAGAAGCTCTCCCTAGGCGGTGCAGTTGAGACGGTTCCAGAGGCTTGCTTTGACGTTGATAACAACGGCACGGTTAGTCCGCCCTCCTCCGGTCCTCTCTATCCCTATTTAACCGCTTTCGATATTTTTCTTTCAAATCGTCTATATATTTTATTTTCTAAGGATTTTAATAATTTATCTAAATTATTAAGAGGTAGATCTTGTTCGGCAAAAAAATATATTTTTTAAGGGTTATAAAACCATCTGAACGATTTTGTATCATGTGTCTCCCTTAACCATTCAGCGCCTTAATGTCATTGTAAACAATTATATTTCATTTTTTACTATATCATGAAAGTCTCTTAATCATTCTGACCACTTAATCATTCTGTATCAAACCGTTCAACAACTAACAAACATTATCAGTTTATAATTGAATTATGACATTGAACTAATTGAATTGTGACATTGAACTTGTATAAAATCATTACTTGGGGATGAATTACTCATTTTTCAAATGGATTATGTATATTTTTTTTTACGTTTTCATGGTTAAATTATAAAATAATTATCAAGTATGTCAAAGTTAAATGGTTGAGTTGTTGAATCGTTCGTCTACGAATCGATTCGTACAAATATTTTTATGAAGAATTGATAAAGTAACTCCACTCTATGATTAGTGAATTTTACAGTGGAATCATAACCATAATATAAACTTGATGTGCCACCTGGAATAGACAGATATAAATATATGCAGATGCACATACATAATGTAAATAAGGCGTAGAGTATATTACGTTTTCTGTTTCTATGTTATTTTCATTTTTCCCAATTTTGATCCCTAGAGTTGAAAACCACAATATAGACATTGTCGTTTTGTAAAACTGTTTAGAATCGACCGCTCCCTCTACCAGATGTTAGCTTTCGTCCGTTAATTGAAGGGCAGTTCTATATTTTTCTCTATTTTTCATTTATAGTTTATTAAAAAAATATATTAGTATTGTATACTATACATATAAGTGTAATTATTTGTTAATCCATTAATTAATATTAAGTTTACAAACTCGTATGAGTTGTTTGTTTTTTCATCAATGGTAATGGTTAAATTGGCTATTATAAACTGGTGAAAAAAGTTCATATGTGAAACCAAAAAGTGAATAACACTATTTAGAAAGTTTAAACAAAGTTCATAGATGAAATCAAAAAGTTTATGGTTAAAACAATAATTTTTTGTTTCAAGCTCATGCATGAGATGATTTAGAAAGTTAAAATAAAGTTCATAAATGAAACCAGAAAAGCTCATGATATAACAATGATTTTTATTTAAAACCCATACATATTTCTTTGTTTGTAAGATCTGGTTTGATGATCTGGGCATGAATTATTTGTAGAAAAAAAGATTTAAAGTTAAAAATTTCAAATTTTAGAAGGATGAAATAAATTATGAAATATGATAATTAAGTGAATGAGAAAATTTATGGTAAGTGAATGACCGTAGATTATATAATGTGATAATTAAAGAATATAATATCAATATATGAAAAAAATAAAAATACCCAATTTATAAAGTTAATATTGATCAATGAGTTAACAAATGATTATATATATATATATATATATGTATGTATATATATATGTGTGTGTGTGTGGTGGGGGGGGGGGAGAGGATGATCGTAATTTTATATAAATTATTAGTATTTTTTGAATTAATGTAATTTTTTTATGATAAAACATTATATTGAATTTGTTTTGTTACTTATCGAATGCCCCTTTTATATCTTGTCCAATGCCAATAAAATGTCAGGAACGGGAATAAAAAACTAAGAACGATGGTTAATTCTTTTGGATCAGAATCAAAGAAAGTATAGAGTTCTATACATGAGACTCTTATTGAATCTTTATTTTTATTTTTTTTCGTTTATGTGTATAATAAGTTATTTTTCATATTTTTTGTCCTTTGTATAAATTATTGAATTTGTTTGAATCATCATATCATATGTGCACACAACACAGAAAAATGAAGGACATTAAATATGGTGTCTATTCACATGTGCATGCAACCCAAAAAATGAAAGGCGTTGAATATGAACGCATTCACATGTGCACGCAATCAATAAATTGAAGAGGATGAACACGGTGACTTGTTCACTTGTACACGCAGTTGACAAAATAAAAGACAACGAATACTGTGATTTATTCACATATGCATACAACCTATAACATGAAAAAGGTTGAATATGATGATGTATTCACATATACATGCAACCAAGAAATTGAAAGACGGTAATTACGGTGCTTATTCACATGTGAATGCAACCCTATTAATGAAAGACGATGAATACGTTGATTTATTCACATGTACATATAACCTAAAAAACCCTAGACCGTGGAATATATATTTTTTCTAAAATTTTGTTTACATGTAGATTTTTTAAGTATAATGGAAGATTTCCCATAATTTTTATAACTTTCCTTTATGGAAATTGTATTTTGGTCCATAATTATCCATTTGGTGAAATGTACCAAGATAAGTTAGTTTTATTAGTAAATTTTAGTAACCGTACTATTTATATAAATCAATGACTATGAAGCCGTTTTCTGGTTTTTCACTTTTTTACGTATCCGTGTCCTTTATTTTCCATTTGTTTTTAATTTGTTCTCATTTAAAAAAAGAAATAAACTTTCTTATTTTGAATGATAAAGTTTTTAAACTTGTTTTGTGATGAAAACTACATGTTGTATTTTGAAGTCGCAACAAGTAAATTTTAATATTTGATGGAAAACAAACCTTTTAATATCTCAACTATAGTATTATATGGGGCCAAAATGGTTAAATTTGGAGAAAAAACATGTAAAATAATAGGAGTGAAATAATTTATTATTAAAATAAGTATAACACGCATCTTATTATCAAATTAAAAATTACTTAAATAAACTAATATTTTGTTTTAGTCACGTGGTTAACTTAATAAGCTTAATTGTTTTTAGCTTAATTGATTCAGTTTATTAAAAGGTTGATTTGAACTTAGTACAGTAAATTATGATTTCCGTCCATATGTTTTATTAAAAGTAGCGTCTATTTGGTTTTCATCCTTATGTTTTGTAATTCATTATTATTTTTGTAATTACAATTTATTATTATTTCGGTCATTATGGTTTACAATTTTTTATTGTCTTAATCTCTTATACGTAAATATAAGAATTAGTCAAGGAACAAAAATAGAAATAAATTAAAATAGGAACGAAAATCAAAATTATTAACAAAGCCATAGGAATAAAAATCACAATCTACTCTAAACATTACAGTCTTTTTATTTTCTCCAACACTACTACTTTTTGTAATTTTTAATCGAATGTCTCATTAAAAATTAAATAGTTACCAACAAATGTCTAAATCAAATTAAAATGCCTTTGCCCTAACGATATCGTAACCTTTAGTCTTCTAATAGGTCAGATATTCAAACCCACTAAAAATAAAAATGATGTGTGAGTTTATTTATTGCATTTGCTGTATATGAATATTATATACTTCAAAAAAAAAAATACAATTAAATAATGATGCTAAATTATTTTAAGTTATTAATTAATGCGTAACAATCGTATTGGATCTATATTATATTATAAAATATTTGACAAGAAATCTTAAAAACTATTTTTTATGCATGAAGTACTGTATGTTGATGCATATTACTTAAAATTATAGATTACAAGTAAATTATGCATAAGTACAACTTATTAAAGCTCGATGTTTGAATTCGTATAATCAATTGCGAATAAACAAAATCAAATAAATGATAAACAACTCATTTTAAAATATAAAAAATCTAAAATATAATTAAGAATTATCGAGTTATAACAAAATAATTAAGGGAAAAGTCTAAAAAAACCCAATGGACTTTAGTGTTTGGAATGATTAAGTCCTTGGACATTCCAAAACATGTTAAACAACTCATTGAACAATTTTTTTGGAACAAATAAGTCCTTGAACAATTTAAAACATGTTAAATAACTCATTGAACAATTTTTTAGAACAAATAAGTCATTGGACAATCCAAAATATGTTAAATAACTCCTTGAACTTTTCTAAAACCTATTGGATACATTCTTATAACTTGTATAACTAGTTAATGTGGTAAAATAGTGAAAAAAGTCCGGAAAAAACCCCAATAAACATTCATATTTTGAACGATTAAGTCCCTGAACATTTTTTGAACAAAAAAATATTTAGATCTATAAAATTAAACAAATATAACAAAAAAGTATTTACATTTACAAAAAAATAATCACATTTAAAATTTTTTTTGATAAAATTTATTTAATAAAAAAAAAATTACTTAATCAGTAATTTTTCAAACTAAAAAAAATAAAAAAATTTAAAAAGAATTATTGATTAAATTTATTTTAATTAAAAATAAAATATATCGTGTAACACCCCATACTCCACATTTGCATAAAACACATATTTCATTATATAGAAACATGGATTACATCAAAAAGGTCTCACTAGTACAAGATTGCTATATGTACATAATCTACATATAAAATTTCCAAAACAAATCATGTACTATTACATGTAATCTAACATGTATCTTCAAAAGCAGGAAACAGATTTAGGAAAATAATCACATTTTCCCTTTCCCTTTCATATCCCCAGACCCAGCTATTCCTGCATTGCATAATTTAAAACAGAAAATGAGGGTTAGACCATACGGGTCTAGTGAGTAAATCCCCTGTTTGCAAATGCAGGGTGCCAAACACCAAAATATGATAATGTAATCTTGGCTTTAGAAATATACCGCAATATAACAAATATGCAGTTTCCAATATCATATATAAAGAAGTATATCCAAAAATTCGCACTTCTTTAAAATATCTCTAAACAGAGATCCAACATTCCCAATATCCAAAACTTTTTGAATGAAAATACCATTCCTTTAACAGGAAAGATTTAAGACAAAACTTGCCCAATATGACAAACCATTTTCTCCTTCTCAATAACATCTAAATTAGTACTTCTAAATAGGAATAATATCTTTAATTCATCAAGTCACAAAGAAATGATGTTTCAAAGTTATTAAATCCAATTTAATAATAATAATAAGAGTTATAATAATAACATCCCCATATGACAATGTCACCCTTGTTCCAAGTACACCTCTCCTTGATATGCCACCCTTATTCCTC